TAACAAATGCTTTGCAACGTCTTTCACTCCAGCTGGAAATCCTCATCTGTAGTTCCAGTCATTTCATATGGCTTTCTTTCAGATAAACAATATGACTTTTGTTTCTCTGGGTCAACTGCCAGTGTGTTAAAGGTTATTACTGAATTTGTCTATCAAGCTTTAGATAAGAATAGTGAGGCTTGGGCTGTGGCTTTAGATATCTTGAAGGTGCCTGACAGGGTTTGTCATATTGGCCTTCTTCACAATCTGAAGGGCCATTGTGTCTTTGGTCAAATATTTGACTTGATCAAATTGTTCTTAACAAATCATGTAATAAAAGCCACACTTCTAGATTCTTTCACATCAGTAAAGCTCTATGCTTGCACCCATGTTATTTCCATTAATGACCTTTCTGATGTCATCAGTTCCAAACTCAGTATCTATTCTGAAGACACAGCTATTTGCTCTTATCTTAATAGTAAATTCAATAAAGTTAACCAGACTTTTGATCTCGAAAATGACCTTGAATTAGCTGTTTATTGGAACAAGAAATGGCTTGTAAATTTTATCGCCTCAAAAACTAAACTGCTATCTTTTACATTATTTACATTATTTGGACTATTGTCCTCATCTTGGTCGCCATATTTATTACAACGTTTCGGCTGTTGTACGCTCCAGCCTTCTTCAGGTGGTTGGAATGTCGAACTGAACTCTTTATTTCGCTCACTGGGGTAGACTGTTCTAATTCCATGTGCCATACTTAATGGATGTCAGTTATCAGTTATCTACAATTTGCTCTGTGCTATGTGTCTTCAAGGACACATGGCACAGTAGATAAAGATGTTAGTCAGATCCAGTGACAAGATCCAAAGAGTGTGAGTTCAATACCTGGTCAAGGTAGTGGAGAACTTTCAGAGGGAAATTAACTGGTGTTCCTGCTATATATCTCGAGATTCCCGAGAAAATCCAAAGAAGAGTTTGTAATGTTATCAGCCCTGTCCTGGCATTTTGACTTCAGTCACTTTACCACCGTCATGATAGATGGATCAAGGGACAGAACATGCTCTCGGAGAAGGAATCATGTGTGATCCAATAATATTCTTGTAGGATTTACTTTACCATGTAACCAAATGAGTGGCCTAATATCAGAACTAGAAAACCTCTTTCTAATCCAATATGTTAACCACTTCCAAATTTAACTGATTTTCTCATATATTTGGGAACTCAACTTTATGCTGTCCGACATACTGTTTGTCATCAGAGATAACCAAATTAAACTTATTTTTATCACTGAAGAACACAGCCGCCCAATTTTTATTGGTCCAGACAATATATTCTTTCAGAAAGGCTAATGTTTTGATTCTTCTTCTTGATGGGTAGTTTGATGGTAGGAGAACTTGCTTCAACAATTTTGACTGAAAGAATTTCATGCCAATTCTTTAAGATACATTTCTGACCAAAATATTAAAGTCAATGAAAATAAAGTAAAAAATATATCTTTTGCATTATTAAACTTATTTGAGTAGAGCTTTGAAAAATGAAAATAAAAGGAAAAATAAAAATAAAAACATTTTCTTAGCATTTAATATGGAAAACTTGAATACTGGGAAATCAGGCTAAATACTTGCTGGCCAAAAGTTTAAGACCATACTTAAGCAAAGCTTTAATGGGTAAACACATAATGAAATTTAAGCATTTGTGTTCAAGCATTGGCGCAGTGAGCATATATTGCTTTGGTATCTCCTATATTACATTAGGTAAAAACATGGCAATGGTTAAAAAGTTGACAGAGTTTGAACAATGCAGAATTGTTGAGCTGCAAAAGCATGGCCTCTTTCAATGTGCCACCACTGGTGAGATTGGACATAGTAAAACTCCTGTTGGAAATTTCTTAAAAGACCTTGAGCAATAATGGAAGGAGAATTTTAAATGATTGGCTCAATATCAGGACAATAGAGTAACTCTGCGGAATAGTGTCTGTTCCCACATGTATAGTAAGATTGGTTGCCAGTTTAAATGGAGGGTATAATAAGATCATGAAATATTCAAATTAGATGAATGCTTTTTGAACAGACCTTGTATAAAACAATCTTGTTAAAGGCTGTGACAAAAGTCAGTGTTATCCTACATTCACTTTGAACACATTGTTTACATCCCTTGGATTATTTGATAGTGACTTGAATGTCGGAAAAGACTTCACAAAGAAAATATCAGATTTTTATATTGTTTTAAAAAATATTTTGTCTGTAGTGGTAAGCATTGAATAACCTTTTTCTTAAGAATCAGTGACACAATTCTTATTCTTCCCAATAGAAAAATCAATATGCAAGGGAATTGAAATAATTCAAAATGCTTGTGTGGAGCCAAGAAGTCTTTTAAATAAGAGTCTTTTAAAAATCAGGAAAGGAAAATGTTGATTTAGGATGATCTGAAACATGTTTTTATAAATAAGTTAAGATTTGAAATATTGAAGATATATGGAGTTATAAATAGACAACTGGAGACAAGAATGTTAGTAGGCAGAAGACAAAAAATTATTTTGTATATTTTAAAAATAAGTGTATAATAAATCTGTATGTTGTTATAAATCATGTACATTCTAAATTGCATGTTGTCATGGTTGATTCAATAAATCACTCACAGCTGGAATATTTCCTTAAAATAGATTGTAGTCATTTGATCCAAAGCAGAATATTTGGGATATTAGATGGTTTCTTTTTGAAAGGGAAGGGAAAAAAAAGGGAAAATGAAGAAAATAAACAGTTTCTAGGCATAAATAAAATTAATAATTTGTAGAGTATTGCATTATTTTTTAAAAATTTTCTCAATATCTGTTCATATCTCTGAAATGAGGTATTGTGATTACTTACATTATTTGGACTGTTATCCTCATCTTCATTGCCATATTCTCAACGTTTTGGCTGCTGTATGCTCCAGCCTTTTTCAGGAGATTGGAATTTTGAACCAAATTGTTTATTTTGTCCACTGAGGTAGATTGTTCTAGTTCCAGGTGTCATGCCTCTTCTGGGTGTTTCCGTATTTCCCTTTAACTCAACTCTCCAAGTTTGGTTCACCACTCCTGTGGCCTGGTATTGAACTCACAACTCTTTGTGTCTAGTCACTGAATCTAAACAATGTCTTTATTCACTGGCTGATGTGTCCTCGAGTATTTTCCTTCTAAAACATTATCTAAATAATGGATTTTATCTCAGAATCCCAAATAATCAAATTCATGTCAATGTGTAGATAGCATAATGATTATTAGCATGGAAAATAAAATCTATCTGAGGTTCATGTAGAACTAATGCCCTTTGGGACCACATGAACCCATCTCTTCTCTCCCACACCTATAGGTAAAATAGTAGGGCAGATTGGGCTTTCTCATTTTTGTAGGGCAACCCAATCTAAGACAACTCTGAATTCAAAATAGCAGAGAAGGTCATTGAAAACCATGCCACTACATTTCACCAAGACAAATCATACTGATGCACCATTTTACAGATATTAAAGAAAGAGGAAATTATAGAGAGCCATGATCCAAAAGGAAAATTTGTTTTTAAAAAATCATATTTGTAATTATTCAAATTATTGATATCATTACTTTTCCTAACTTTTTAAAAAAGTTGATGGTCCAAGAGAAAGAGAATATTGATAAAAACTAATTACAAACAAGAAAAATGAAAATGACATCAAAACACATATCCCATTTCATTCATTAGAATATTCTTTTGTTCCTGTCTGAAATAATTTACATTAGAATACTTTTTTTTTTTAGAAACTTTATTTAATACTTTTTTCTTAGGGAGAGGAAATATCATGATCTTCTCCACTCTCTCCAAGATCCACTATTGGCATTAATATATCAGATATATGTTAACAGGATGAAAGGAAGGTTTGGAATAACCCAAAGAAATGTATTTCAGAAATGAGTTTTAATTGAAAACATTTTATTTACAGCACTGACATACAACACAAATATAACTCATACTAAGATGATATATATATATATATATATATATATATATATATATATATATATATATATATATTACAATGAATCATTCATACAAAAAGTAGATTAGTAAAGTTAATGATATAAAATCGTGAAATCCTTCATGAACAAAATTTTAAAAGTTTCATTAACCTACAAATCACTCGACAAATGTTATGATCCGGTTTTTTAATAATTATCAGCTGTATAAGGTCTTTTTTTTAATACGCAAGTACTTTCAACTGTACATACAGTCATCCTCAGGCATGGAAATTATTTTGTTTTTAGTAAATCCAGGTAGCATCAAAGACGAAAAATTAAATGCGAATCGAAATATGTTTTTTTTTTTTAAATGTGTTAATGGATACAAACTTTTGAAGCATGCAGTCACAATGCTAAGGTTGAATTTTTTGAAAATTTAAAAGAGTACGTTTTTTACTAATATGGCAATTTGAGAATTTTTTTTTATGCAGAGAAAATATGGCACATATAAAAATTCAAGTAATATGTGAAGATGTTAAATAAAAAGAAGAAAAATTGTAAAATCCCCACGAGGAACATTGTACAGCCATATCATATCTCAGGTTCGTATTTAGGATGTATGGAAGTGTGTTGTTTTCCATAGTTAGTCAAACCACAAGTGACTATGGTGTCTGCCTGCTCAAGTAATTTAAGTTTTAAAAAAAACACATTGGTTCTAAAGCATACGACTGAATGTCTAAATGTATTCATCTAAACAAAATATTTTTAAAAATTGTTTTTGGAAAATTTACATTGAAAGAATTAAGGAACAAAAATGATTCTCTAACTGGCTCCTAAGAATTGGTGAAACACAAGAGAAATTTAAAACAACTAACCAGCATTAAAATAAAAGAACGGAATTATCATTCCAAAAGAAAAAAGTATTTATTTTCCATAATTATTTACAGGAACAGGAAAAATCTACATTAAGTTTTATGTACATGGAAATTATTTCTTTATTATTAAAATGCTTTGGGCAGTTAAGTAAATAAACAAACACTGTACTTGTTTAGGAAGATGTTTTAATCTGTGAAAATCTGATGTTAGCATTTCTGAGTCTTAAAAGGATATCTTTCCCAAGAAGAGGTTTTGTTCTTAGGAGCATTTCTGGGGTGGTTCTGAAACACCAGCAAAGCAATTCTTTGACAGCATATGTCTTCAGGGTTGGATCTGTTTGCCGAATAGCCAAATCCAAGTTCTGAATTGATACTTGACTGGAACCATGTGAAACAAAAACAAACATAGGTAACTCAAAAACATGAACAGAAAATAGGAATAATTTATTTCTTTTGGCTTTGTTTAAATCTTAATATGAGGCAAAGATGTGAAAAAATAAATTCATATACACTGAGAAGAATTGTTAATTTGATGAATGGTTAATGACAAGTGTAAAGGATCTGAAAGAATCTATATTTTTATTTAGGGACCTTCACAAAAAAAGAAATAATCTCTAATCTCGTGCAAAACTTTTATTTTAGTTTTAATTTCAACTTCCAAGATTAAATTTAATATTTCCAATAAGCAAAATAATTTGTTTTATTTTAAAAAATAATTAAAATTGACTGGAAATAATTTCTTTTTTTTTTTTTTTTTGCTAAAATAACTGATGAGCACCTTTTTGTAGTTATCTTTCATTGAAATTCTCTTTATTAAAAATTTTCCAAAAATGAAATATATTTTTCTGAAACTTTATTTGAGGAATATTAGTTGATTTAAAGTATTTGATTTGAAACAAGTATTATTTATTTTAAGTTTAAAATATTGCAGAACTGCATCTTTTAACCAAACAGTAGCTGTGTTTTTAAATGACAGTAGCTGTGTTTATGTGTTTGATGAGGTAATGACAGATCTAATGCAGTTCTACAGAGACCTTATTTATAAAACATAATTGAAGAAAATTACATAAGCACCTTTTTTATATAATTTCTAAGTACTCAGTAATCTCTAAAATTTAGGAAAATATTCTCTGTAATCTAATGTAGTATTGAGTTTTAGAAATTTTGGCTTTAAATTTACTATAATCATTGGACTTATTTTCTGATGTGGCACCATGCATAAGTTGGCAGGCTGAAGAGAAATATTCATAAATATATGATTTGTTTTTTACGGTTTGTCAACCATTTGATAATTATTTAGAGCTGAAAAATATTTGGGTTTTGAGAATAATTCTTTAATTGCGTTCAAGCGATCTGGGAGAAAGAAAGAAAAGAAGAGGAAGAGAAAAGAAAAAAAATACAATGCGAAAACCAGGTCATGAGCGAATAAACACACGCTCGATTGATACATAACAGACGTTGGAAGATATTCCCGGTCAAGTACCTGACCTACTTCCGTGTCCACGAAAGATGGAAGTTTGTTATCAATTTGGTTGAAGAAATAAAGTTTAAAGACAATGGAAAAAAATATGATAGGTAACAGGTGGGAAGTTTATCTAAGGATATGCAGGCAAACCATCCCAGAATTGAAAATAAAGCCACACAAGGTGATGTAGAAAATGCTTTTTTTGAGATAATTAAGATTTTTGTTAACAAGCTCCGGCCGAAAGAAAAAAAAGTGAAATATTTTTTATTAGCTCGAGAACGCCACCCAGTCTGGGAAATCCATTTCTTAGATCGTATCCAATTAGCGATAAACTGTTTGACAAATACCGCGTGTAAAAGAAACCGAGAGCGTCATTTCGGTCACGTTTTGAAAAGGGCAATTTAAATTTTTGTTTTTTTTAAGCAAGGTGTTTCTCCCCAGAACAAAGCCACGGATTGTCCACGCCCGATTAAAGACGTCACGAAGGAAGGAGGAAAGATACTGACCAGAGCCTCATTGGCGAAGGCGGTCACATGATACATGAAGAAGGAGGAAAGATACCGACCAGAGCCTCATTGGTCAAGGCGGTCACGTGACGTGCGAGGGAGGAGGAAAGATGCCCCACTAGGACCCATTGGCCGAGAGGTCACATGACATACGAAGGAGCGGGGAGGCGGGTATACGCCCCCAGAGGCACAGTAAGGGAGTGGGAGTGAAAGTAAGTTACCGAAAATGGAAAATCCCTAATCAGAAATAAGAAGGGTGGATACGTATTTAGAATTATCCAGAAAACCCTGGCGCCGACAGACCCACCCCAGTTTTTGACTGCATCAATAAAAGCGGGACCCCAACCGACAGAAATCAGTTTTGCGCCACGGACGACGAGAGAGAGATCAGCCGTGAACGACAGGCAAAGATCAGTGCCCAGTGTTGAAACCAAACCACACCCCGAAATGCAAATTTCTAGAGAGCAGGCAACTCGAAGCCTTAAAGTTGTATGGTAGAAGCTTGGTGCCACAGTCCACAGAACGGGTCGGGAGGTAGGAATAATCTTGTGTAACGAGCAATTAGATATAAAAAGTTGTTACCTTTTTCTTCAATATTTTTGACCTTGTGAGTTTTTATTTTTCTTGTGTGTTATCACCCCCGTTGGACTCAGCTTGCATACGGCCCAATCCCTGCTTGATCCCGTCTGTCTAAGATCTAATCACAACGTGGGTAGGCAGACCGGAGATCAGTGCAGTTACCCTGGTAACCAGGCGTTGGAAGCGGGTTGGGAACGACGAGGCTGGTATTCATCTAACCAAAGGATTAGAACGTCACACTTGGAGCAGCGAGGAGCGAACAGCTGGCGTCGCGAACGGGATCGAACGACACAGTCGACGCTGCGACCAGGGGGGACGACGTCACAACTGGTGCCGTGACCAAAGGATCAACCCTGAGACAGCCACGTCACGTCACATCGATCGACCGCTGTTGCTGAGAAATTTCAAATAGGACTCAAAACGAACCGGGACCGAAAGGAACGAGAACAGAATCGTCTGTAAGGTAGGACACTTTATTTTATTTCCCAACCTCGATTGTTGCTGCGTAGATTGTCTTTCTCTTTAAATATGTCGGACTATGATTCAGATAGAGCAGTGGGGGATGAAGAGGGAGTAAGACAAGGGTTGTCAGCTGATTTAAGAAGGCTGTTAGGTGGACCGAGGGTCCCAGCATTTGACGGCAGCTGGAAAGAATTTAAAAACTGGCTGGCAATCCTGGAGAAGAGCCGAGTTATTCTGAACTTTCAGACCATGAAACCCTGTATTTGGCATACGATGCCACAAAAGGAAAGCGTCTGAATTCGTGAAGGAGCTCTTGGAGAGTCAACCCCACTTATCTTGGGAAAGGTCAAAGGGACTATTGACCAAGGAATTCGCCGACGAGGGCACGGCTATAGAGGCCATGAGGGCCCTCCTAGAGCTGACACAGCTGCGGGACGAAACCCCGGGGTGAATTGGGGCCCGAGCAGGAAGCTGTCATCATTGGCCTTCCCGGAAGTGGTCAGAGACAATGCGGTCATGCAGGCCCAACTAGCGGACCTGTATGTAGAGGCGCTAAGTGACGAGCGTGTCCGTCACGACGTGCTAAAAGAGGGACCGCTGAGACTGTCGGCAGCAATAGAGCTGGCCAAGGAGAGCCAGGGCGTATGGGAAAAGGTGAAGAGGTGTGGAAGGAAACAGATACTGTCAGGAGGCCGGAAGAAGGGGGGTAGGCGGAAGATCCCCCGCGTGGAATCAGAAGGTTAAATTAGAAGTAGATCAGGCTGAAGTATGGGAAGAAGACCCCAATAGAAAGGCATGGTCGACCAGGCATGGCTTTTATAAGCCCACGCCAGGTCGATACGGGCTGGTCTGCTGGACCTGTGGGCACGAGGACCACAGGGCGGCGGAATGTCCGACGAAGTGGGGGTTGCCCCCAGACTTCGATCAGGACAGGTGCACCATGTGTTAACACATGGTGCACCTGTCCTGATCGAAGAAAGGACATCTGGCCAAGTGGTGCGGGCTGAGGAAGGGTGCCCCACCGATATTAACAAAGAAGGCCGAGCCCAAGAAAAGCCAGCGGGCCACCATGGAATTAAGAGGGAGGGTGGCCCAGTTAAAAAGAAGAGAAATAAAAGCTTGGACCAGTGGTCGGGCGAACCGCTTGGATAGAGGACGGGTCCCCCCGGGAGTAGACACAAGGCCAACCCAGTTGAAAGGGAAAAGAGCAAAATGTTGGACATGTGGTCGGGCGGGCCACTTTGCGGCAAGCTGTCCGACAAGAAGGTGCTGGTTTTGCAGGAGGCCAGGACATTGATCAAGGACTCTGAACTTAGATTCTAGACGATTATTTTCGCTGGAAGTACATGTTCTTAGTTCTTTCTTTTTTTACCCTTTTTTTCCCTTGGGTATTGATTTTTTCATTTAGATGCTAAAACACCAAAGGTTTTGCCGGACGAGCAAAACTCCTTATATTTATAAGATTATTAGTATTATATATATATATATATATATATATATATATGTAAAAGTGAACATGGAAGTCAACATCCAGAGGTGACAGTCTGTTTCATGCTTAAATGCAATCATCAGGCCATGTGTGTTGTGCTTTTGCTTAACTATTTATATATACAGGTCAGTGATGCATTGTGAGTAGTCTATTGTATTATTCTAACAGTTATTGTGGTTGGTGGTAACAGTTGTGTTCCAAATTATTCTAGGTGGGAATAATTGTGGATATAAATGCAATTTATAGTGTTGTTAGTTAAATTTTTTTTATTTATTATTGATTATTTTATTATTGCTTTTCTTGTGTTTATCTGTGAGTATGTGGTTTGCTAATTTCTTTATTATTTACTTAGTTTATGTACTTATTTATTTGTTTGGATTAATTTATTTTACTTGTTTTTGTTTATTTATTTATTTTCATTTATTCTTGTTTGATTTCAGTTTTCGATTTTTAATTAATGTGGTAAAAATTTGTTTTTGTGTCTGCATTTTGAGATGATTTCTGAGATAGTTTATTTAGTAGTTTGTTTTGGTCTGGGAAGGTAATTATAGCTATATTTTCCTAGAGACAGAGTTTACAGTTGTTGTAGGCTGATGTTCTTTTCCTTATTTCCCTGATATTTTTAGTGTGTTTTGTTTTTAATCTCCAAGATATGGTTAGAGAACTTATATTTATATTTACATATGATCTATCCTTGATATTGAACTCTTTAACCCATAAATATAGCATGCCTTAAAACTATATTGTATTATATATATATATATATATATATATATATATATATGATATAATAAAAGAAGTAGCAGTATGCAATAACATTGTGTCGTTACAAAAAGAACTTTCAATAAATTTCAGTTAGCTGGGTTGTGAACCCCAC